CCAGCCCGCCGTGCTTGTTGGCGCCTTACCCCCCTGCCCCTGTGGTAGGAAGCCCCCTGGAGCCTGGCGCGCTGTCAGGGCGAAGAAGAAATCGGGGGTGGTGCCCCAGCGCGCCCTTATGGCATCTGTCTTCGCGTGTGTCACCCTGCCCCAGGTCACCTGCTCGTCCTGGGAAGATGCATTCTTTCGGAAATGAAGAAGCAGTCTCTTTGGAGCGGCTCTTTCGGTTTTTCTGCGAGTGCGTACGGCGTGGAGACTGGGAGCTTGCGCAGGCCTGTGTGCCCCAGCTGAGCCAGTGGCACGGGGATGGCCCTGAGAAGGTGGAGGCAATTCTTAAGGCTCTGGTAGCTTGTCCCGTGGGGGTAAGGTAAGTGCGGTACTGTTATGATTCCATAGGCTTGAGTGTGAAATGAGGAGGAAAAATTAGTTTAGTGTTGACTGTGGGAGACAGGTAGAATCTGGGAAATAGCACTTGCTTCAGTGCTGAGGTGTATTGAATGTGTCTAGATGTGCTGTTATCTGAACGTTGACATCTTGTCACCGCCCAAGCACGTAGCAGGCTGCCCAGACCACTGGGATAACAAGCTGTGTTCATTTATGTAGTTGAAAGGGTGATTGATACAAACTTAAACCTATTTGGAAGCATTTCAGAACTGATTTTGTTAGATTTTACTGAAGGATGAGAAGGAACATCAGCTGAAATGACATTCCTTTGACACTGAGCTTCTGTTAATTTGGAAATGGAATCACCAAGATCGGCACTGTAGTTGTTTAAAATGTTCTCTTGTTTCCAGCTCTTGAAGACCTTCCAATTTCTAAAAATCTAAACTCTTAAAAATCCAAATTATACTATTGATTTCTTATTTCTGTTGCACTGAATTTTGAAATGGCATTGGCTTTACTCAATCCTAGTTAGTTTTGATCTCTACTTTTCAGGTAGGTGCATATGAAGGGTGACTTTCTAGCACTTCAGGGAACATTGGTATACCCCTTCTCCAAGAAGATGGTCATAATTCTTCACATGAAAATTTGTGTAACATTTTGGTAAATGTTCTAAGAAGCAGTTTATACTGACAGCAGTTAAGAGAGTCTGGAGGAAGATGTGCACATGGTTAGATGAATATAGCTAAGGGTCCTATGAGATATAAGCATTTTTTATCTTTTTATCTTTGATAGTTGGGCTATCACATCTAAAGGCTTTAGTTAGCAGTGCTGAGATTTTTAAAAGCCAATAAACTATCTTGTGCTTTTTCCTTTTCCTAGTCCCTTTGACAGTACTGTATATGTTCCCTAACTGTGTAGATTTTGGAACATGTGTGTAAGTACTGGGGCACATGAAAAGCTGATGGAAATTAGAAGTATTCTTTGTTTAATTAGTACATTACTTCACTTTTAGTCTGGACATAGAGCTGCACTTGTGCTGCTGTGACCTAAAACTTAGTTTCATTTTTTCGGGTATAACTAGACAGAACAGGAAATAGCAGTGTTTGGCAAGCAGTCAGATTTCAAAGAAATCTGCTGAAGTGCTCAAAGAGACTCTACAGACTGAACTTTAGACCAGAAATAAATTTCATTGTTTTGAAGCAAAGAACTATGGCAGTAGTGTTGGTATTTGGCATATCTAAAAGCAGTTATTTGCAGAGCAGAAATCATTGAGTTGATGTGCAAGTAGTACCAATATTCTGGTTTCTCTGCATTCTCTTCCTGTCTGACTCATCTTCAGCTATTTAGTCATCTTTGGTTTTATCTTACATAAAGAAATATAAAAATCAAAATGACCTCTGACAGTCTTTTCATGGATCTTAGAGATGTGAACGACCTTGTTTAATCCAGTGTACGTGCTTATTGCTTTTATAGATGGGGACAGAATTCTACCCCGTGGAGAACTGCATGGCTTTGGCTTCTTGTGCTGGAAAAATGGCTTGCCAGGAATCAGGTACAGAAACATCTAGGTGACTTCCAAGTGCGACTTATAGCTCTGACTTCTAGCTGACTTCCAAGTGAAAAATGTCTGCCTAGTTGCTCATTTAAATTTTAGGCTTTCCCACCTTTCACAGAATTAAGTTCTCAAGGTAGCTGGAGAGGTGCATTGTTTTTGCTTTTAACAAACTTGTCAAGAAACAGCTGTTAATCCCTACACTGGAGAGAAAAATCGGCTTTTTTTTTGTTTTGTTTAGATAACAGAAGCTGACTTTTAGCATTGAGCATTTCTGTAAATGGAAATAATGAGTGTACCGACTTACGCATTTGTATAGCACCTTTCTTTCATTGAAGATGAAGTAGCTCATGCATCAGACAATTCTTTATAAGCTTTAGATGGTGAGGGATGTGCTTGCTATATTGCTGTTTTCAGACAGACAGATGCAGTATGTTTCATGAGTAAAGGAGAAACTAGTATTTTTTTCCTTTTTTTTTTTTATTTATTTGGCACACTGGGATGTGTGATCATACTTTTTTTTAAAATTCATTTGCCCTTGTCACTACTTAGACTTGCAATTTTTCTTTACCTTCTGAGGAAAGATGACTCTAATTGATGGGATTGTAGTTCCTGGCAAAGTGACACTTGTCTCTGTTTCCAAAGGTATAGATAAATGGAATCCACTGGTGCAGAAGCAGAACCTAATTGTGGAATAGCCTTTAATTGAGAATTAGATATCTTCAGAGAGATATTTCAGTCTGCCTCAAATCGTTAACGAAATAGCTAAGATTAGGTTTATATTGTAATGTAAATAAATAAAAGTATTATTGGCTAATGTCTTTCCCATTCTCTTATATTATTTCAGAAAACTGTTCCAGTTGTTCTTCAGAGAGAAACTGAATTTTTATTGTTCTTGGAAGAACTACAGAAAGATGTCTCTGAGGAAGTCCTAAAGGTGAGCTACTTAGTATGGCCTACTTCTTTTTGTTAATTACGCAGAATGTCCAACTTCGTCAGGTTTTGGGATCAAAGTTAATGCTTTCTGCTAACTTGCCTGACTGAGATGCTAGTGTGTTATTAATTTTCTAAGGAAACTGAAAGAGACTGTAATTCAGATCCCTTTCTGAAGTCAAACCAATGTGCTTGCAAGTGATTTCTCTGGCTGGAGAGGAGGCTGTAGGCAGGCAAGGAAGAAGCTTTTCTACATGACCTTTCTAACACACTTCAGTCCTGACTGCAGCTACTTGCCACAGTCTTGTATCTATAGACACCTTTAGTAGTCATAAAGCTAAAACCCCCTGTGAGCCAAAATGAACAACAGTCAGCAAGCGCTTTTTCTTCCTCTTAAGATCTTAATTTTCATCTCCTCCACACCCCTTTGCCCCCTTCCTGGAAGTTCTTGAGTGCTGTACTGTTACTACTGACATTATTTGGTAATTGGTGTGATATGTGCTCTGAGGTCCAGGACCCGTTTTTCCATTATTAATTAATACATGCAGACTGATATATTTGATAAATACATGGAAATATGCAGAGATGGATTAATATCAAAAGCAAGTATAGAGCAGAAAATCAGAAGAGTTACTAACTGTAGAACTATCCTCATTTGGTGTTGGTTACAACAGAATTAGACCTGACATGGTGTGTGGAACACGCTCAGATGTTGTTTCTAGTCTTATAGGTTCTAGCTCTTAAAATAATTTTTCCGTTTGCCTTTTTTTAAGAGGAAAATGAAAACTTGTTATATTCAGAGGCTATTTGCAGCTTTTAAATATGAATAAGGAAAAGATGTTCAATATTTCTCTAAAGATACAGAATTAGCAATGACAGGATGAAAGTAATCAAGGTAAACTTGACTGTTGATTAAAATAAATCTGCTTGAAGTCTGTTAATAGCTAATGAAGTCTGTGTACATTACCATGTAACCTCCAAGGTCATGAAAGCTTCCACTATTGTCTACAGTGTTGCACAGAAATAGGAGATTCAGCAGCCTCATGTCTTTGTCACAATTGCTGTCAGAGTCATGTTAGCAGGTAGAATTATGTTTTGATCCAGCAAATAAGAAAAGGACTTGTCTTCTACTGCTAATATCCTCATTTTTGTGCACAACAACCTCCTCTCCCCTCCTTATCCCCTGGATTGTCTCTTCCAGCCAAGGACAGCACTCACATAGTTCCAGAAGTTTCACAAGTGCTGCTGAATTGCTGTTCAACTGGATTGTCCCTGACCTTCCCACCCCTTATTGAGAGAGTTAATTGGGATTTTTTCATTTGCTTGTTTCGCCCTTCCTAGTTCTGGAATTGTGGGAACACTAATCATCATGCTCTTACTTACTTACGAAGATACAATCACACTAATATATTGCTCGAAGGTAGAATATGGTAGTGCTTCAGCCATCCCGTAGGAGCTGCCTGTGAACTAAGGTAACTTGCTTATGAGCACATGGCCCCTATAGCGTAGTTGTGTATTGTAGGATTCTTTATATTTTGTTACATATTCAGGCATATCCACTTTTCTAGGAAGGATATTGGACAAGGTGGACCATTATTAATGGATTTCCTAGGTAGTACGATGCCTCCAAATTTATTTATCTTCTTACTTTCAAGTTTCTCCTATTTTTTAAAGATTTTATTTCATGTTTTTAATGGAGTCTGGAAGGATTACTCTTTCATTATTTCTCTACCAGGAACTGTTTGAAGCATTTGAATGCACCCAGAACAAGCACATCACAGACAGGAAAAGAAGAGATGGCTGTTCTCACAGATTCAGTTTGGATGTTGTTTCAGCTCTCCGGAAGCTTTTGCTGAGGGCTCCCCAGAGGGCAAAAGCCCTCATGGAGTTCTTCCAGGAGGAACAAGGCACACACAGCTCCTCGCTCCAGCAATATTGCTCTCCACAAAACATCTTTGTTGAATTTCTTCGTGACTCCTTGAAATCTCTGCAGAGGCTTCAGTGCAGTTCTGAGATTTCAACAGAACTAGATCAAAGAGAACTAGTAGATACGATTTATGCTGCTCTTAGTATAGTGACTTTTGAGGTGGAGCATCAGGCAGATGAACTACGGCACCTATTCAGGGAACTCTTGGATGTATGCTGGGCTGAGGGAAGCCCACTGAGGGAGGAGAAGCTACTGAGCTGTATGCTGAGGAAACAGAGCCACGGCCTGTTAAGCCTGTATAGCAGTGTTCTGATAGAAAGAACAAGAGAAAAAATTCTGGTGTCGAAATCAATACGAAAAGGTTTGTTTCACTTTTTACTTTGTTTTCATTTTTTGTTTAACAAAGCCATTGAGGCATTAAACAGGCAAGTTGTCAAGAAGTCGGGCAGTGTTCTTGCTAAGGTGCTTTAACAAGCTATGGAGTCTTGTAAAAGGTGATGCGAAAGTGACTTAAAGCAAGGAATTGGCATAGGAACCCCAGGGCTCTCTTACGCTTCTGCAGTCTATGCTGCCTTCTTTTGTGAGCACTTCCTCTACCATCCCTTGCTGTGCCCTATTTTAATCTGCTCTCTGCTGAAGATCTTGCTTGTAACTAGAAAATTGACTCTCCATATGTATATAAAGTTTTTATTGGTTCAGCTCCAGCTCGGGGTCATCTGTGTTGGAGGATGTTCCATTTCAGGCCAATAACAGTTCAACTACCTCAGTAATCCCAAAACGTTCACACCCCTTAATATTGGAATAGAAAACTTCTAGAAGTGAAGGAGATGTGGAGTGGGCCAATATCCCAGCTGGAAAGAAGAAGCAGTTTGATTACCAGAGCCCAACTGTTGTTATAGCCCAAAGGTTGTAACTTCACAGCTTCTGTCTAGCTCCCTATGACTGGTGCGTTTAGTTGAGCATCTCAGTTGAAGCTGAATGGCAGGTGGTGCCCGTGCTTTTGTCAGGAACGTGGCAGGTGAGTGTGCAAGGAGGGGAAAACTAGAATGCCCACCCTCTATTGCTCACCTCTGTACACTGAGGTGTAAGTCAGTGGGGTTTTTATCCTCTCTCCTCCCTTCACTCATAGGGATTGCTGAAGGGAAGTCCAGGCTGATGTGGTGTGGCAGACTGACATTTCTGATGATAACTACAGTTAGTGCTTCCTTGTGTGGTAAGAGAAATGGAGATAAGGATACCTTCAGTCTCACTGGGAGTAGTTCACTTCTTGCTTTGCACAGATCTGAGAAGTTCCTGTGCTGGACAAGTCTTTGCTAAGGCCCTGCAAAGCAGCATAGTGTCTTGGAGCACAAGTGAGAATTCATGCAACATACATGGTAAGATGCGTATGACTAGAGAAAGGAAGGCAATGTGACCTGAGCTAATGCAAACAACCTGTGTGTTGAACAGGCTCTTGCTAGGTTAACAAGTGTCCAAACAGTTTCCTGGTTTCCTATCTGACCTGTTCATTTTCTGTCAAATATCTCTGCTTGGCTTTCTTGTTATCCAGCAACAATATCTGAGAGTCTTAACTATTAACATGTAACAGCTGGTTAGTATTTGAGGAAATCTTGAGTGTTTCTCAGTTTAAATTAACAGCAATTGTGCTGCTTTCAAAGGTACACCTCTGTACTGGAAAGTAATCTTGTGATATTTTTTAGGTTCATCTGAGCAGCTGGATACAGAGCGAACCATGATGAGTTTGTTCTCAGAGTCCAAAGAGGCTCCTTCTTGGAGGACAGCCTATTTTTACTGCTTGAGCAGCAGCAAGCACTTTCTGGAACAGATTCTGGTACGGCCATAAAATCTTTAAGAGGGAAACTCAATGGTGGCTAAAGTCATTCCCTGTATTGAACATATCTTGGTGGTGCACAGAAGCATTTTGTATTCAAATAGTGTTTACTAGGGGTCATGACTTACAAGAACAAGGAGGTAACTGGTAATAACTCCCCTACTCTCAGCTGTGTGATGAACTCAAAACATTCAGTGAGTGAGCATGGAGACTGTAGGTTAGATCTTCAGGATTTAAGAAGTCCTGTGTTCTGCTTGTAATTTTGTTGAATATGTCGCTGAATATGAATATTTATCCCATGACCTTGAACTTGTTGCTTGTGCTTTTGTGGTGCTGGCAGACTTGGGGCAGTGGGAATAGTTTGCATGGTAAAATTAATGTTTTAAAGATCTCGAAGACCTGGTGAAAAATACTCTGGTATGAATTAAATTATTTGAATGTATTTACATAGATAGAAGAAACAGAATACAGGTAGGTGGTCACTGTTGAAGTGTGAGTCTTTAAGGCTGAAGATACTTCCACTTCTAAATAACGTGCTCATTCAAGTTTCTTGCATAATGCCCTTGACAGAGACATGATCAGTAGGAAGAATGTAAAGATAATGCAGTGAGGGAGTGTGAGCTGGCTCTGTAGTCAACATTTGAAATGATGTTTTTTTTTCCTCATGACAGTTCTACTGAAAAGTAACCTGATGGCTTGGAAAATAAAAGCTAGGGAAGTTCCAGATGCAGAACTTCGCTGTTTTAGTGAAGCTAATATTGAAATGGCTACTTGCTTACATAACCTGCCAGGCATTATGGGTCTTGGCATTATGGGGCTTGCATTTTGGAAAGATAAATACCTCTTCCTTTTGTTTTCTAGGTGACTGCATTAACTTTACTGAAAAGAGAAGACTACTCAGGCCTGAAGAGCTTACTGAGGAGAGAATTCAACCCCCTTAGCCGCCTCTTGGTATTGCTAGGATGGACTCATTGTCAAAGCTTGGAATCAGCAAAAGCATTGCTGTGGACTCTTCACAAAACTCAGGTAAATCAGCACAAAGCAAGTGGCAATATTCCAATCTGAGTCCAGATAATACAATTTGTTTGCAAAAATAAAAATAAATAAAACCAGGGAGTTTCCAGTGAGAATGTTAATCTTTCTCAAAATGGAATTAAAATAACTAAGGTGTTACAGGTGTGTGTAGGTAATATATTGGATGCTTACCTTTCTTGTTACTCCTCAGCTGTGAAGGGAGTATGATTGCCCAGGAGATTCTGAAAGTTTCTCTTGCATAATCTCTTCAGCCTTTGCTGTTAATATAAGAGAGAGAAAGACTGCAACGGTTGTTGATTAGTTTCGAAAAGAGCTGGGGGATGTTTGATCCGTGTCATTTTGTCCAGTGAGTCATCCCTGGATAGTGACTAATTCTGGTCACAACTAACCTGAGTTCAGCAACAGGGTAGCTTGGAAATTTCCCGTACCCATTCTCAAAATGAAATGATAAATGACAAGAGCTGTGACTAACATCCAGCTTTTTTTGCGGGGAGTCTTCATCTTTGAAGAGACAGGGTTCTAACTCTGAGGGTGTAGTTGCAGTGCAGATGATGTCTACCTGTAGGCAAGTGGCCTGGACGACAGAGCTGAGGAGACGGGGAGCCTTGTGCTGCTGGATCATTGGGGCAGGTCTAGGCTGGCATTGCCTTAAGGAAGTTACCATCTATTGGTAATAGACTGAAGGTCTGTTCAGTAGCCTCTGAAAAGTGAGTCTTAGATCTGATTTTAGCAGGCAGGCACCCATAGTAGAAAAGCACATGGAAAAGGAGAATAACTGTCTGCTGCCCAGTATATAATCTGTTCTAGTACATGATTAGTTCTAGAGGTTGGTGTCTTTAGACTGTTACTAAGAAGCGTTAATTTGTATTTTGAAAACTGAGCTTGAAAAGTCATGTAGCCACCTTTGCATGGTCTGTAGCTGTGTCGACTGGAGGCTGACTGATTTTGATGCTCCTTCAGAATAGCCCTTCCTTGCTGGCTTTGTGATAAAACTGGCCATTTTCTGTAATTGAAAGGTACCATCTGGATAAAGAAGTCTTTTGAACATCGCGTATGTGACACAGGCTTGGTTCTACTGTCTGGCTAGGGGATTTGTTGTAAAGGAATTCTTTTATTTGTCTTTCCATTTAGGATCTGTGCAATGATTCAGTACTGAAAGATTTCTGTGATGGGCTGTGGGCTCAGGTGGAAGTTCTTGAATGGTGCATACAGCAAAACAGGTAAAATGATCAGAAGGACTTTTTCCAAACTGTCTTGCCAAATCTGCCTGTTAGTCAGTTTATGTATGCAAATAGAAATTGTGTTCTTTTCTGTGAATCTTGGCTAATCATCTCCTAGTGACTGTATATCACAAACTCTCGAAATTGCTTCATGGGCGTAAGTTATGCTTTGTTTTTCTTCTTAACTGCAGTAGTTTGGTTGAATCAGAGTGGGAGATATGTCTTTAAACATGACTGAGAGACCTAAATCTGTTTGTGCCACCTCTTTGTTTGTTCTCTCTTGCAGTATTACTATCCCAAGGAAGGTTCTTTTGCAACACTTGCACAGTCTAGATTGCCACACTGCAGTGTATTCTCTTCATCATCTCACTAATCTTCTGGCACTGAATGAAGACGATGTTATTGAGCTTCTTCAAAAAGTTCCTGCTAGAGACCAGCAGATGCAGGGTAAATGTGTAGGATTGTGAGAAAACAAAAACCCCGATCCATTGAATATGTACTGCTCAGTATTTCTGCCAGGAAGAATCTGGTCTTTTGACCTACTTCTGTAAATAAGGGAGATACCGCTTATCAGCTGTTTTGTGGAAGAAAACTAGAGAGCATGTGGAAATTATTTTAGTATCCTTTTGGGGAGTAAATTGTCTCCCAAGAAGGAGTTGTGAGATCTCTTTGATCTCACAAGGACAGGTCCCTGAAAGAACTTTTTCAAAATGTTAACAAGATTTTGCACATGCTCATAATATGTGCTGGTCATTGAAACTTATGTACTGTATAATACGCTTAGCTTGAAAAGTAAGCGTATGTTTTGAATTTCAGCCATCTGTGCACTTAAATTTAAAATCAAAGGGCAAAGCCAGATGAAATTGACAATATGTCCTACTATAACATCTTCATTTTTGAAAGATACAAAATGTTGGGTTTTTTTTCTAATATTAAGTCTTACCAAATCTACTTTAATATTAAAATCGGTAAGGCTTACCTACAGGCTGTGTTTACATCCCTCTTGCCTCACTTCTCTTATCTTCCCATGTTCCAGTTTGGTGCCTAAAATACCTGAGATCACTGAACATGTTAGTTCACTTAGAAGTGACTCTCCTTGTACACTCTGTTGATTGCGGCCTATGTCCAGGTTCAGCTGCTGCTATTTTGATGCTGTTTTCTGATAGGACCTCTTAATAATGATACAGAAATTCAGCCTTCCTGCATGCACCAGAACCTGACAAGCTGTGATTTCTTGTGCCTTATTCCTTCTATGGGTGGGAATTTGTACATGTGTAATTTCAACCTGAGTTGCATGGAGAGCTCTCGGTGATGGATCTTGCACAGATTTCCCAGGTTGCATAGTAGGAAGCAATTTTCTCTCTTTCCATATCATGTTGTTAAGATGTTGGTTTCTAGTCCTATTTTTACAGATTCTGTTGTTGAAGTTATCATGACAGTTGTCTTGAATAGTCTTAAAAGATGTAATGATTGACGCTCTATATAGATCTCTGGTTTCAGTGTCCCGCTTTCTGAAGTTAATTGTTTTGTTGTTGCCGATGTTGGGGTTTTTTTTTAATCGGTTCTTAACATTTTAATTCTTTTATGCTTAAATTCTGTCAAAACCTTTCAAAAACAGGAAGAGGTAGTCCCATCATATCTTCTGGGAGCTGCATGACTGTAGCAAAAGAACTCTAGCTGTGGTTTCTCTTTTTTCAGATCACCTTAATTTACAGAACTAGTTAATGGAAGACAAGTCCTCCCTCTCTTTTCAACCCAGTGATTATTGTAAAGTTCAGATCATTCTATAAACACAGTTTAATAGAATCTCCTTTAAAATAATCTGTTTTGAAACTTAGAGGAGAGGAGTAATGAAGTTTTGATTTGTCTGACTTGGTAGTGTTAACAGGCCTTTTTCTTCCCTCACCCCACCTACTTCCCCTTCTTCCCCTTTTTTCTGACACACATCTGTCAGCTGCAGTAGTGAAACTGAAGTAGTGGTGCTGGTAGGCAGTTGTGTTCAGGCACCCTTCAGTTCAGTGCATAACACTAGCTTTGATTAGTCACACTAACAATAGAAGCGATGGGCAGAAATTTCCTTATGAGTTACAAAATTCAAGAATAAGGTATTAGTATTTCTGGCATAAGAAAAACAAGTGCTTAAAGGGTAGTTCTTCAGTATTGATATAAAGGAAAGGGTTGATTTGGATGCGGATACTGACACAGACTCACTGCATCCAAGTCTTTCCATATGGGAGGCAAAAGTGTATTAAACTTGCCTTTGATTACCAGTGTGTGTCTTATAGTATCTCCAGCTAGCTATTTCTCTTTTTCAGAGGACTGTATTTATCAGATCTCTGGCTTCACCTGCCTGAAGTCCTCTTAAGACAGTGGTATTGAGAGCTTTCTGGGTACTACATACTAGTGTAGAGCTGCTGGTGAATTGTAGCGTTTCTGTGGCCATGTGGGTTCTGCAAAGGATTCATACTTGGATGTTTCCTCAGTTCTGTCTGCTGTCTACATTATAGTTTCCACCATTGTCGCTGTTTAGAATTACAGTGATAGGGAATAATTGGTTTCAAACTGTTTGTGATCTCAGGGCTTTTGTCTTGGCTGCTCTGTAGTTTTCAAGACTGTTCAAGCCAGTGCTTTTCTTTGAAATCATGCTCAAGTCTTGCAGAGGACAGTGATCGAACACTTTCTAGGTAATGCTATTCAGTCCCACAGTTTGGATGGGGACGTTATCAGTACATCAAACCAGTGCTTTGTTTAAAAAAAACTTGGCTAATGCTTCACCTGTGTGACAATAGGCAGAGGGACAATCCACCCCTTGTATAAGAATATAGGATGGTGAATTCAAGCACTAATTTAACACTGTCTTGGATTTGGGTTTTCTGTTGTTGGATTTTTTTTTTTTTAGCCTTTGTACAGTAGTTGTATAATTCATCTAAACCCAGCATAACAGAATGTGTGACTATATTATGTTCCTGGGTGCAAGGGATGATGCTGTGACCTTTTCCTAATTTGCAGCTCTGAACTTTTGTACTAAGAAGGGGTCATGTCTCTGGCATGTGATACCACCTTTCCTCAAAAAAAGGCAAAAAGGGGGAAGGAGTTGGTGTAGTACTTACTGAAGTTGCCTTTATCATAAATGTGTGAAGGAAACTGGGACTGTACCTTTTCTGTAAGCAATTGCAGATTGTATATGATCTATATGGCCAACCACTATGGATGGAATCAACCATGGTATCTATTTATTTAATCTGTGGAGGTGGTGATACTCTATTCTCACTACGGTCATAGTCAGTCTACACTGTCTCCCTACTTATCTACTGTGTGATAGAACATAGAATTTTAAGATGCAGGAATGAGACAGGGTCTGTCCCTGTCTTGTAAATGCAGCAGTGTAGCTTAACCATGTACCTCTAATGAGACTCATCATGAGCCGGTTTTTGATCATTCTGTGCTGTGGCTAGGTCCTGTAACACAAATTCACAGAAAATTTCCTTTTCTGAAGGGAATCCAGACAGGAGTTTTCTGTGCCCGTCTGTTGTGGTTTTCGGTGGTTGGGGTTTGGTTTTGTTTTGTTTTTTTTCCAAATGTTATGAAGTAACAGTGAGATAGAGCAAAGCTGGGATGGAGGTGATACTGGGTAAGAAAGAGGGTAAATGTTGCTGTGTGGGAACCGCAGAAGAAAATCAACTTGTTTTCTTGTCTGTCTCCTACCCCCTTATCACTCTTATTTCCCTCCACAGCGGCAACACTCCCTAACACCCTGAGTCAGCAACGCAATCTGGCACTCTTTCGAGCGTTTTGCGCCATGAAGTATGCTATCTATGCTCTCTGTGTGAATTCACATAAGCATTCCAAATGCAAAGATTGTGTACACAGCCTTCTTGGTGATATCCCTGAAGACGCAACTTTTGGAGAACCAGCAGGTGATTGACCTCCTTTCTCAGGTTCAGTAGCTTGTGCTTCTCATTTGCTGAGATCTGAATTATCACATAGTATTGGGATAATATTGTACCCTGTGTACATATAATGTTTTTATTCAGTGGGCTATGAATGCTTTGCAAACAAGTATAATGGCATTTCTTTGAGGTGTTGTTACCTTTAGTAACAATAGATATGAATAAGCTACCTGTCTTGTTCTAAAACATTCAAGTATTAAAACATTTAAGAATTAAAAATATAGTGCCAAAAGGTGGTGATATTGCATATAGGATGATAGTGGCAGGGATGCTTTTGTAAGAGCTTATGATTTTCCAGAGCTAAAATAGATGTAATCTGAGCTTGCACATCATTGCACAAGTTGATAATTGGCATTACTGAGAGGGAGGAGGCACACTACCTTTTTACATGTAAAATGTTGGACATACTTGATTTGTGGAGGAATGATTGGCTCTAAGCCACTGGGACAATTCAGTGTTCTAGGATTTTCCTAAAGGGTAAGGTTTGAAGGAAGGAACTCCTGGAAAATGTTGTAAATGATGTTTATTTTTGTTTTTAATTACACAGATTGCTCTTCGGTATTTCCTCAGTACCTTGTGAAGTGTCAGCAGTTCTTAAGGAGCGTTCCTGCTCCTCTGCGCCTGGAGGTTTTGGAGAACATCTTCTCCTTGCTTTTTGTTTCCTACAGTGACCTCCATACTGAGACTCTTCTGCCTGAGGACTATGCAGAGGATGATGATCTTGACAAAAAGAGTACTACTGTGAGTGTAGAAGGCAGTGCCAGTCGTCGGTCTTCCACCTCAGAAAGTCCACAGTGCCAAATGGAGGCTGAAAAGAAATTAGAGAGGCATCTGCTGGCTGCTCAGACAGTTTACACACATACCCACGATCTTCATGACTCAATGTTAGGTGGCAAAAGCTGTGAAACCTCTAGGCTGAGCTATCTGGATCTGAAACACTTCACCAGTGGTGTTACTGGCTTTTTAGTGGATGATGTGGCCATGGATGCCTTCCTCACATTGCTTCTCAGTCATCTGGAAGAAATTCAGAGTTCACTCCCATGGGACTCCAGTAACGTGCTTTGTGAAGAGCTGGAGCTTGTCGAGTGCTTGAATCTTTCTGCAAACAGAGATGCCTTTGGAAGTCGTGTGTTACAGTTTTCCAAATACCTTTCTGAAGCTCACTGGCGATACAAGGTGGTGATGAGTAACAGAAATGCAGGTAGGCTTTGTATTTGGTACTTTCTAATACATGGATACTGTTCTGTTACAACTGTCCAGGCAGTGGTCTCAAGACTAAATTCCCTGAGCATCTTACTGAGGGAGAACATTTTGGCAGATACAAGGAGAGTGACCTAGTTGGAGGTCAACTGGTTCTTGCACCGTTGTCCAATAGGAGTGATCTCTGTTCTAATCAGAAAGTTTGGGTTTTCTTTTTTTCCCTTCCCTTTGTGGACGCGCTGCTTCAGGTTGCCTGTCTTTCTCGTGCACCTTTGCCACAAATTATGTTGGCAGTGCAGTGATATGAAAGGACATGGTGGTGTGTGATCCAGTGCAAGCCAGATAGACTCGTCTCATTCATGGACAGAGTGTTGATTTAGCCTAGTGTGGAAACATGTTAGGAACATGTATCGGAGGATTATTCTGGGATGCAGACCGCTCCTTGGGAGTAGCTAGAACAACACACTCAGGAACCTATTTCCCACCCTTCTCCATATCCTGTAACTTGTTAGCCCTGCTACTGTCAGATTTCTACTTGTATCAGAGTGTGGCTTATTTTGTATCTCAGACCATGCCAAGTCTGTGTCCCAAGAAAGGCTGGGCAGTGTGGACCTTAAATGTCCCAAGTTTCCAAACTTATGTTCAACTTTTTCCCATGTTTCCCCCTATAAAGGAGAGGATGTGATGGGACTTATGTTTGGGTAGGCAGCCCTCGCTGTTTCTATTGGACAGGCAGCAGCTTTCTGTGAGATTCTGGGCTTTTGAGTCCTGACTTCTGAGAAATGATGGCAACTATTTGGGGAACATCTTTCAGGGAAAGGTGGCTGGCTTTTCTTGACACTGCATATCTCTTGTATTTTCTGTCTCAAGGGCTGGCACCCTCATTACTTGCTCACTTCCAGAGTTGTTGACTGAGTCAGGGTTTGTACTACCCTGTATTACTGAAGAACCCAGTTGTTTCACCGAAACTTTAAAGTCAAATCAAACTCTCTCTTTTACTATTTTAATTCTTATTCTTTTCACCTTGTTTCTAGCTGCTTATGTACTTGGACTATACCTATTTTTCTATATAATTAGAATCATAGAATCATTTAGGTTGGAAAAGACCCTTAGTACTCATCAGACGTGTGTAGAAGGTATAGTACGTTCCAAGCAACATTGGATATGGATGTGAAAAACACAGTATTAGTTGAATTGCATCAAAATTACTTCAAGGTGCTGGTCTAAACTTTACTGCAGACGAGCTCTTAGCTGAGATCAACTGTGTTTCCTTTCTAGATTCGCCATCACAGCTCTACCTATGTAGATGTGCTAATAGATTCTTTAAGGTAGACAAATAACTGTTGTGTCCTGTCCGGCTATTTGGTAATGTTTTTGCTTAAATATTTCACAGAGCATCAGCTTGCAGCTTCCAGGAGACGCTGCTCTTTAATCAGGAGCTCCAGCTTTAAGAAGCGAAGTAGATCTCAAAGGTACAAGACAGGTACGTTGAAAAAGCAACTTGGAGAAGACATCTCTGAAATGCACGTAGCTGAATGCAATTACATTTAATGGACTAGGAGTAGAGAACGAGATTTATTTCCTTTAGTTTTCTAGCTGGTTTGAAGTGTCTTAGTCCAGTTCCACTTGGATTGAAATTGTTTTCCTAAAGCTTACCTGCACAACTGAAAGGTAATTAATTTTAAATTCAGGTAAGAAAATAAATCCTTTCATACATAGTCTGATTTGAGGCAGGGGAGAACTTTGCAACTACCATACCAGTTCTTCCCTTTCTCCACTATATCCAACAACTGATGTATTTTAATTCCTATCACAATAGTATCTAGAATGTGAAGTTACAGGAATTTGTGGCTTAAATTGGCAGCCTTGGGAGAAAGTCGGATTCCTCACTCTTTTTCTATTTAGCCTTTAAAAGGTACATCTGGGTTTGGAGTGGAATGTTTCAAAATAAGAAACTTTTAAAGTATCTGACATGAGTCACTGATGGGCCACCCCAACATAGTCTCTTGCCTAGCATTTTCTTCAAATCAGCAGTTTTTGCATTTATCATAGACATCAGTGACGGCTCAATTGCGAGATACTCATGAAGATCTCTTGAGGTTGCCTAATCTGTTATATGCAGTAAGTTTTAATTACCTTGTCTAGAAAAACTGCGTTTAATGTGCTGGTTTTGATTTGTTTCCATTTTAGATGGGAAAGGGGGAACTTCCAGTCCATCATTAGAAAGTACAAGTAGCGAGCTAAGCACCAGTACCTCAGGTATTAAACCATAAAAGTAGTATTTGTCTTGTCAATGTGCATGATGAAGTATTTGCTTGACTACTTAATGTGAATTATGGCTCTGTGCAGGACAGAATTAGAACCTTTTGCTTCTCAGAGCTCCCACTTTTGGCTGACTTTTTTTCTAATTAGAATAGTATATATTATAGTATATATAGTAGTCTATGGACAGGGACTTTTTACAGTGACATGTAGTGATAGAACAAGGGGTAATGGCTTTAAACTGAAAGACGGTAGATTTAGATTAGATACAAGGAAGAAATTCTTCCCGGTGAGGGTGGTGAGGCACTGGAACAGATTGCCAGAGAAACTGTGGATGCCCCATCCCTGGAAGTGTTCAAGGCCGGATTGGATGGGGCTTTGAGCAACCTGGTCTAGTGGAAGGTGTCCCTGCCCATGGCAGGGGGGTTGGAACTAGGTGATCTTTAAGGTCTTGAAAAAAATGTTTTTTAAAAAAAACCCCAAAATCTTCTGGAATAAGAAAATTAGATTTTTCTTGATATTTTTGGCTTACAGGGAACAGTATACAATGTAGTGATGTGCAAACCATCAATAAAGCTAATAGACTGGCAGTCATGTAACTTAAAACATGCTTAGGTATGCTAAACTGATTTAGTAGGTCTAATACTTAAGACTTCTCCCTTTATCCCTGTTGAACCAGTGCCCTAAGCATTGTGTCCACATTATGTAGCTGCTAAACAGTGTTACTTTTGGTTGAGATCCAAACTGAAAGTTCTGACCAAATAGTGAAATATTACAAGAATTTTTAACAAGATGTTTGTGTTGACCTCTTTTACCCTAAAACTTCCCCATGACTCTACTCCTATATTTTTGTGTTAAATATGTGAAGTAGTGTTATCTAATAGTTGGCTGTTGTCTGGTGAAATGTTTTTTCCATAATAGTATACTGATTAATTCTGTTGTCTTGCAGAGGGAAGTACCAGTAACGTGTCTGGCTTGAGCGATTTGGAAAGCAGGATTAGACCACATCAGCAAAACCCCCTCATTCCTATGATGCTTTCCCCACCAGAATCACTGTTGGTTTCTTGTGTTTTGAGAGGAAACTTTGTAGAAGCCCATCAGGTAAATGAGTTGCATGTATTTTGTGCAATTAAAAACCTAATTTAGTATTGATGTTTGTGGTTGTGGTAGCGGATGAAATTCCTGCTTCCTCTGTTAGCAGGCACAGGGTTGAAGCATCTGCATTCCAAGTGAAAGGATCACTTCAGAAGTAGGAGCAAGTGAAAGGAACAAAAATATTCCAAACCAACATCCCAGGGATGCTGGGTTTTTTTTCTGGTTATAATAAAATAAAATGCTTTCTCTAAACCTGGGTTCTGAAAGTGTGAAAATGTTTGAGAGCTGGCCAAGCTTAGTGTTTCAGCTGAATGAAGAACACAAAGAGCTCATGTGAAGCCTCATGAGGAAGCAGCACCTGAACTGCTTGCTTTAGTCTGTGAATCAAAACCAGGACAATCTGCCACTTGTAAGCTGGGTGGGAACATGCAAATGTATTCGTTATCCAAAGTGGAGGCAAAGTGGGGATTATATTTATTTGAAGGAGGTATGTTTTGAGGCTAAGTTCATGGTACTGAAAACAGGCAGAAAGACTTGAAATTGAGAGTCTCCACATTTGTAGTTCTTTGCTCCCTTTATGTGGCTTTTGGGCTGATGCTCTGAAAAAACATCTTGAGGTGTTTCAGAGATTGGATCCTCTGCAGAAAGCAGTGACCTGACTGAATTTCAGATGGTGATATTGGAGCAGTTAATATCATTTAAACATTGCATTAGCAGCAGGTTACTGCTCAGCTCATTAGTTCTGTTTGATGTCAAGCAAGCCACTTCATCTTTTCCCTACTTACAGGGCCAAAAGAAGCATTTTGTTTTGCTTTGTTACTTTGAATTGCAGTATTGCTGATGATAAAGAATTCAAGCTTGGTTTGTGTTCTGTTGTTGGTTTGATAATAGGAATTTGCAGAACTGTACTTGTCTCCCATGTGTTTAAATTTCTAGTAGGCATTCCTTACTGAATAAGAATTTGTTTAAAGTAGTTTTCTTTGGAGGCCCAACTTGTTACATAGTGTATAGAAAACATGAACAGTCATTCTGAAAGGTGTGGCTTACGAAAATTAATTAATCTCTAGCCTTGCAACACATAATAGCTGAGCTTTATGAAAATAGTTGAAAAATGTCTCTAAGGTCCTGTTTTTCAGGCATTTAAAACTCTACCGAAACCCCCACCATTTCAGCCTGCTGTGTCTGTGGGGACGTTTTTCAATTAAAGTATCTGTTTTATCATATTCCCTCATCTCTGAAAACCCCCAAAACTCTTTGACCTTTGAAAACTTCTTTTGACATGCACTGTAATTATATCTATTGCTATTTTTGAAAGGTGGCTTTGATGTTTAATCTGGATACTTCACCTTGCTATGGTGAATTGGTTTTCATGGAGCGCTACCAAGAGGCGGTACGAGAAATGGCAAGAGTGGAGCACAATATTGAGAATCAAGCATCGGATGGCACTGGAAGCATCAGGAAATCTGGCAGTGGCCGTTCCACACTGCAAGCTATTGGGAATGCAGCAGCAGCTGGTACGGACTGGGTTTTTTGAATTCTTCTCATAGAAGGTGAGGGAGAAGTGGAAAACAGGAGAAACGGATTTGAATACTGTCATAACGAGTGCAACAGTTGTTCAGAAGAGTGAGTGGTCGTTCTTTGACTTGAAAGGAGACTAAGAATGCTGAAATTTGCTGTTGATGCCCAGTTAGTTTTATCCGTTCTGCAGTAATTGGTCCATGAAGCAGGCCACCTATTGAATTATTTTCCTAAAGGATTAGAGAATAGTTATCCGTTAAAAGATCTGAGATAAATATGCTGTTTAATTAGTGATTCTGTGTTTTGTTGATGCATGTAGGTATGGTATTTTATTCCATCTCGGATGTTACTGATAAACTGCTTGCAACTTCTGGAACTCTTGCCCCTACTCTCCAAGAAAACTTCTGGATCAGCAGCATACAGCTGGAGCATACTCATCCTCTGCGTGATGTCCTTGAGGACCTCAGTCCTTCAGCAATGGCGGCATTTGACCTAGCTTGTACTCAGTGTCATCTTTGGAAGACATGCAAACAGCTTTTGGAAACAGCAGAAAGAAGACTGTACAACAGCCTTGAAACTCGGGGTAGGCTTTGGATTTTTGTGTTTATCAACATGGGCCTGGGAGCAGAAAATGCCTCTCTGTGCTGTGTTGTTTGTGCTAACACATGAGTCTTAACTAAATCTCACTTTGTACTTTCATATTGGGAGTGGAAAAAGGAGAAACTAAATTTTATTTTGTACTCCTTTGAACAATGACTTTTCCAGGCCGCCGACCTGACTTTGTTTTACTGCACTCTGAAGGTGTAAGGGGTTTCCCAGCAGTTCTCCAGCAAATAAGTAAAATTCTCAACTATTCCTGCACATCACAAGGGCAATCCAAGCCAGGTAGTATGCTTTGCTGATAAGATTTTCTGTTGAAGTGTGCTTAAATTAAATTCTTTCCTTCTGTTGCAATGGAAATTTGAACTTTCCATTTTTTAGCTTAGTATTTAGAACATAAAAAGATGGGGGACTTTCCAACTCAATTCTGAATAAACTGAAACATTTGAATTTGGCAAACTAGTTGTATTATAATACAATTTTGGTTCTGTGGGCCTTTTTCTGTGCAAAAATGTTTCTGTCTTTGTTATAGTTGCCGTTTCTTTCTCCTTCTTTGTAGAGGTCTCAGATGAGAAAATAGGGAGTCATTTTCGATGCAGTATTGTAGACCTTCTGCAAGCTTGCTACCCTACCTTGACTGAAGAAAGTATTACTAATGAAATTGTTTTATCACAAAATCTGGATCAAATCCTAAAAGCACTGACGCATGTTGAACGTTCTGTGGGTGAGTTATTTTTGTGATCATGAAGACAGACAAATGGATGTAAATTTTTGTTTTGGCCTGTCCAGACAACTATAAATCTAGTAGTAAGGCTCTTTGACATATGCAAAAATATTTATATTTTTAAAATCATAAATGTGAAGTGTAAAATTTATTTGTAATTCTTATGTTCTGAGCATTTGTTTTCAGAGCTAAAATTGTGAACTTGCTCCAGAAGAAAAGAAGGTATCATTGAGTACAATTGAGGTTATTTGTCCTATTTTCTTCAGTCCTAACAACGAATTCTCTAAGTGTATTTTAATCTGACAGCTTATAGATAATTAGGTGTATCTTTACTGTTGCTTTTTTTTTTTAACAAAAAGGAGATAAATTGGAAGATATTATGTTACAATAGTTTTATAAATTTTCATAGGGCTATCATAGGGCTTCCTTTTCTGAAGAAGTCTTCCACAGTTGCCTTTTCTTGGAGCTCTCTTTATTATATAGCACTGGAGTGTATTCTCTTTCATTTGGTGTTTTGTTTTTGTTTTTTTCTCCATTCATCAAATTTCTAGATGGCATGTAGGTGTTTGTAAAATATCTAAAGATATTTGTATTTTTAATGAGCAAAAATTTAGGAGAGCTCTGAGGGCTAAATGTTGTGGAGCACAAGGACTGGCCAACACCTGTATTTTAGAATAAGTTTATGTGTTAATGACACACAGCTAGATATATTTTAGGCCTGCCTTAATACATTTCTAACTTGTCAGAGGCATGGTTACCAATTTATATGAACCAGTGATTTATTCCGCTGTGAAAATGTCTCTTGCTTTTAATAAAATTATAATGCCCAGACTGATATCTGTAGTTGCAGAGAGGAAATTAGGCTAAAGCATTTATCTCTCTCTCTCATTTCCCCCCCTCCCTTTTTTTTTTTCCTCTTTCCCCTCCTCCTTTTTGGCACTTAATACTTACTTGAATCTTGCATGTATGTCTCTTCTCTTAAACCAGACTCTAAAGGGAGCCTGCTTGGCACCTTGGTGGAGCAGGCCTCTCTCAAACCTACGGAACTGGAGAAGCACCTGGTTTGGAATCAAACACAGATCCTGCTGAGAACTCTTGACCAGCATGTCCAAACCATGACAGAGAGCAGCACACAGACAAACTTTGTGAAGTCCTTCTTTGACTACATCAATACACTGGCTGCTGTTGTGCTTCGAAGCCTGAATGCAGAGCTAGGTAAGGGGTTTCTGCTGGGAAGTCTGAGCCTAGGTGAAGGTATCCAGACTGTGTAGTCTGACCTGATTCTGGGAAGTAATTGTGCAAAAATGGTTCCTTGCCAAATGTGCCTACTGTCTGTGCATAGTCAGATCTTTTGATTTCAACTGATGATTGCACTGCTTTTTAATTTTTATTTCTTAGCTGTGGGTGACTTGGGCGTTAAGGTAAAAATAGCTGATGGCAGTAGGAAAACGAGAACAGAAATGTTAACTACTGGTCCAGATTCTGCACTTCGTTTAGACAAAACAAACAACCCCTGACCTCCAGCAATTCTGATCGCTGTCCTGTAAGGCGAGATTGATTTTTTGCATCCAGTGGATCGGCATGCTGTGCACTTTTCAGCTCCCTTAGAGGCAACCAGTGCCCTGCTGCTCCACAGGGATAAGAAGAGAGTGTGTAGAAGGCTATGCAGAGGTAACCAGGCAGAATTTTGTCATGGAATCAGCAGATAATGGTGGTCCATGAAAAGAAATGCACCATCAGCACATAAAGCCATCAGAACAACAGAACAATTCGCTGTGCTAGGAGAAAACACACTTGTCTGTTTTTTAAAATTGACACTAATTGAGCTGCACTAATGTAAAATACCACAGTACTGATTTCAGAGAATACCTTCCCAAGAGAAGATAAGAGAAAAAGGAACAAAGGTCTGTTTTCAAACATGCTAGTTCAGCTCAGGTCACTACCATGCCAACTGTAACTTCTGTATGGACATGATTCAGTCCTCATTGACTAACTGCCAAAGCCAAAAAAATGCACAATATTTAAGGGATGAGTGAGTTTTGGGGAAATTTTATTGGACTAGAAGATAAAAGGAGAAAGTAAGAGAATCTGTTCAGAGTTACTCGACATAACTCAGTAGTGGATACAAAGGCTTTTCAGCCATATAGGCCAGGGTTTCACTCCTTTGGTAAAAGTAGCTGTATGTCTCAGAGTTCCCTCTGCCTTTGCTTTCTTTGACTTGAATAGAGCATGTACTTACTAATATATATCCAGAGACTCCTCAGAAACCAATACTGCAGATTTTCTGTCTCTCACCAGAAATACCTGTTTTGGTGAAAGTTTGAAGTAGAGTTGCTAAACTATTTGAACCTAGATCTTGCTTAAAGGTCAAAGACTCTCCACTCTACCTGTTTTGGTAATAACTCCAGCGAAATGTGAACCAGTGGTGCCAAGTTTGAGAGGTATATCATAATCACAAATGCCTTGCAATTTACTCTAGATTTTAGCACACTAATGTGAATATGGACCTCTGTGAATTTAGTTAAAGAGGTTTCAGCCTCAGGCTTTTAAAATTTATGTTCCTAAAATAAGACTTGGTGTATTCAGCTAATGTGTTTGTATTATAATAAATGTTCTGATATTTTTTTTTTTTAAAGATACATCTGCAGAAGTGAAAGTGGGGAACCCTTTCATACTGTTACAGCAGAGCCCATCTCAGCTGCTCTCCCAGCTTGTGTTTGAGAGACAAGTTCATCCTGACAGGTTGGTGCTTTTCAGATTATATACTTCTCTAGGTTATTTTGGTGTTGGTAACTTTGGGCCTCAGCCAGGATTAAATTCTTCTCTGGCTGCTTAGCAGAGGTAGTACAGCCTGCTGTGTCCCACCAGCCAATTGCTTAATGCTGCAGGGATTGTTGTGCAGGGAGGAGCTTAGTCAGTGGCTTCTCTACCAACCTGAAGATTTTTGATAGGGAAAACTGCCTCCATATGTTTAACAATTACTGTCTGTTATGAAGAGAGAGTGCATTTATGTGGATTTTTTTTTAACTGAATGTGTGACAGTTCAGAGCAGTGGACTTGCAGGTTAGCAATGTAATAAAATAAAATAAACCGGTAGGCCTTCTTAAGAATACAGCTGGGCATGGCCCTTGCCCTGGTCAGTAGATAAACTGGATAATCTAAGGTCCTTCCATCACAAATTGCTAAATTAGGCTGGCATGGAAAGTGTCTGATTTGACAAAATAGCTCTTAAAAAGATGAGCATTGATGGTGAAAAATTTTAGTATGTCACATTTAGGTAAAAGTCAATGTTTGAGAAGTAAGTTCCTTTTCTTTAAAGGAGTGGCAGCATAAGCTCTGATTTATTGATGTTGTGCTGTATACGTTTTTCTCATACTGAGTAAACATAGGATATGCACTCTTCCTCTGTATGTGCTTGTTCACAAAACATTTAGAGGATTTATGAAAATATGTAACTGTAAACTACCTTTTATATGTGCTGGGTAAACTGGTTCTGTTTTCCATCCTGCAGGCTTTCTTCTCTCTTGGTTAAAGAAGATTTGAACTTGAATGTGCAGCAAGTTATTGTTGACTGTTGCTGTGAACCGCTGTCCTTGTGCAGTGCAAGGCAAAACAGCCAGGCAAAGTCTCTTCTGACAAACATCAGCAACTTAGCATACCAGTGTGCCTACCACTGCCTGCCAGATGTTGAAATAGCTATTCATAATTCTGTAGTGACCCCTGAGGATATCTGCACTCAGGCCCCGTCCTTTGTGAATGACTTGAGCCAGCACACACTCACTGCCTCCTCCCTGGATTTCCTAAAGTCTCAGTCAAAGCTAATGGCTGCAGTGGCATGTCTCAGTGCATCTAATATACAGAAAATTCCCAAATCGAGTTTATCTTGGATAGAATTTCGGGGCAAACGGGAAGCGCCCTTAGGTTTGGAACAGATTTCCAGGGAGTGTGAGGCATTGTTGAAGGAGTTCCCAGTATTGGAACGATCTCTTCTTGCTATGTTTGAGCCACTTCAGAATCAGCAGGAGGAAGGTAGCAGTTTGGCTACTGTCCTGTCAGGCAAGACATACATACCTGTGGTTCTCCTGGGACTGCATTCCACCACAGCTGTTAAGGTATTAATGGGAGTCTTTGAAGAAGCTCTCGCTGCAAAGGATTGGGACAGAGCTCTGAAGGTCTTGGATCTGTACAGTCAGGATGTGGAGGAGCTGGCCAATGTGAAGGATGCTGTGCTGAGCTGTGCAGCTGCTGAAGGTAAGAAGGATGAAGTCAGGCTTTTTTCCCTTAATCTTTCTCTTTTTTTCTTTTTTTCTTTTTTTAAATGAAGAATACAACCTGGATCAGGAGGTGGAAACTAAAGTAGTGGTCCTTGGGCAAATCCAAAGACAGAAACAGATCCCTTTCTTCCTTCATCCTAACTTTGCTTTCTCTGGTGGTGTAGTTTCTGCTTTGCAAATGTGCAAATCCTGACCAGTTTAGTTCAAGAGAACTGGAATGCATCTGTGGTGTTATTTTTATGTGAAGAGCTGAATGCATCAGGAAACATTAATCATGGTACTGTTAATGGAACATCTCTTACAGCGGTGTCATTGTCGTACATGGATGATGTATCCTGTGAAAGGAAGTGCCTTTTGGAGTCTAAAGATAGTAGGTATTCCATGCTAACACTGATTACTTCCTGCGAATCTGATGCTTGGGATGAATCTTGCAGATTTTTCAGCGCTGTACTGTTTCTTTTGGTGATACAATCCAGTGAGGATGAGGATTTTTTTTTATTTTCCAAATTATAGAAACTGATTTTCAAACTAGTGGTTTGTTTCCTCCACAGGTAAGGATGGTTGGCAATACTTGTTCCCAGTAAAAAATGCAGTGTTGAGAAGTAGGCTGGCCCTGCGCTGTCTGGACAAATGGCCCCTTGATGCCTGTTTGGAAATCCTAGCTTATTGCCTTTCTGATTTGGGTATAACTGATGAACTGAAAGCCAGTCTGCAGAGCAGGAAGAATGAACTTCAGGTTTATCAAAAGGTACAAAGTCATTCTTCAAGTAACCAATGAGACAAAATAGGCAGCAGGGGGCAAATATGCTTGCCCTTTGAAAAAGTTTTAGCCCTTGGTTCTTTTTTTGATCATAATAACTTTTGAAGTCTTTCATCCAAAACAGTTCATGTGTTTTCAGTGCTGTAGTATCCAATTAACACTCTGCTTCCATCCTTCATAACTTTCCCATTCTTCTATTATGATTCAGGTCTGCAAACATGATTAGACATAAACATTTGTGTGACGTTTCTTTTTTGCAAAGTATTTGTTTTCCCATTCTATACAAATGCTAGAGCCTCTGGAAGCTTTTCATGGCAATTCATCATTTTATACGCTTGAGAGGTGCAGGTATACCTGGGCATGGTGTACAAGACTAGTGGTCCAATAAGCCTGTTTGTATTGCAGTCAGTTCTGCTAACTGCGGAGTAGTGCAGATACCCAAGTTAAGTCAGACTAGCTGGCCTGGAGTTCAGCACAGACTAAAAAGCCAAACAGAGCAAAAAAAGGAGTCATAAATCTCTGCTGAGCTCTGTCTGGTTGTGATTCTGCTAACTGACAGCTCAGTTGTCTCTTTGTTAGTGACAACAATGTCTTCTGCAGTATACATGTACTTTTTCATCCGTAATTATTGCTATCTCGTCTTTTAAAAAACTTCTCCTATAAACATGCTTTGTAGACTCATACCTCTGAGAAAATTGCGCAGTCTTTTTTGGAGTACAAGTGCATTACATCATCCCAGAAAAGGGCTAGAGATAAATGTGCTCTCCTTTTTGACTTTTTGCTTCGTATGAAGCAGCTCTTGATGTGATCAGCTCAGCTGTTTTCTTAGACTTGATGACTGTTGTAGATAAAGCTTTTAAAATTTGTGCTACCCTAATATTAACTTTTTCAGATTTTGAATGTGCAAAACGAACCATTGTGGAATGACTGGCAGGATCTGAAAAAAACCTGCACTGGTGACCCTCAGGCTGTCATGAATATCATTCTGAAAGCAAAGGTTAGGCATCATCATGTGAATTTTGTTGAATTAGAATGCATTAAACTTTGAATAGATAAATTTGTTGAAATAGTATCTTAAAACACTGATCAATGGAGGTTACCTTGGGAGGAAGGATTCCTTTACTCAGTTCTGTGCTACAGAAACAAATACAGATCTGTGTTTAATGTCAAGATTTACATGTAGTTAATAATCCTTAAATTTAAATTACAACTCTTATTCTGAGATGCTTGTTCTTTTCTCTTAGAATTTTGAAGACTTTAATAACATGGCTTTTGACATGTTAGAGGCTTGTTACATAAATACTAATACTGTAGATCTGGATGCCTTTAAAAGTGTCTCTCTAAAAAGCCAACTTGCTTACTGTGAGATGAGACAGTGTTCTCAATGCAGGCTGTGACTGACAAAATTAACTATCGTGTTCTCCTTGTCAATGTAATTATTTACTTTTTGCATGTGGGAGAGGAGTCTAAGCTACAGAATTTCTTGAGAAGTTGTTCGGAACTTTGGGAGAAACTGCTGTATCAGAGAGGGTAGACTTTGTCCTTTTATTTTTTTATTTTTACACTTTTTTTAAAAAAAATTCTGTAGGATTATGAGTTGTGTGAGGAGTGGGGGCACTTGTATCCTGTCCCAAGAGAAGACTTGATCAGCCTTCACCGTGAGCACCTTCTCTACTTACTGGAGATGGGAGACATGGAAAAAGCATTGCAGGTAATAGCAGGACTCTTTCAGCCTTACATCCATAGGTCAGATAAGTTAAACTGTTTTCTTTGCCCTACTCAATGTGCATTTTCATGGCCTTTTGTTTCCTCCTGTAAGAGATGCTATTTGCTTAGATATGCTTTCAGGATCCTGGCTCTCCCCTGTTCCACTTAAGTGAAAATCCAGCTTGGCAATCTAGTTGTTGGACCTAATAGCATAAATGTCACTTACATGGAAATACAAGACCCTTTTTAATTGAAAAATCATAATGAAGCATTCCTGTGCTGCTTAAGCAGAAGAACCAGAAATGAAACTAATAACAGGAATTGGTCAGTTGTGCTTCAGTGGCCAAATTAGTGAAGTGTGAATTCTTCTGGCTTTAATAGTTGCAGAGCTGTTGCTAATAACAGACAGTGTAAAATAAAGTGCAGGCTCTTTCAGACTGTGTAGCTTTGAAAATATTCTGGAAGTAAAGTGGAGACTTCAGATCACTATACCTTCTGTCCCATTCATTGCTTAATTTTTTGCTTGCTTTAATTTTAAAAATATTTTGATTGATAAATGGAGCAAGCAGGCAATGAGTAGTCTATGAATGGATTATCTAAATCACCCTTATATATGTAAGACACTTGTGCCAGTTAATTTGCTTGCTGGACCATTGTAGGGCAATAATCTGTCATGGACTGCCTGTTACAAAGGCAACTTTCCAGGAACGTAGTAGGGATTCACTGTATTTTGTTTGTGTTTGTAGCTTTTACAAAGAATTGAAGACCCTGGTGTTTGCCTTGCCATCAGTGAACAGTCCCTTGACCAGCATCCGAACTTGGCCGCTTCTCACTTCTTGGCTGATTACCTCACAGCTCACTTCTTCGCAAATCTGACAACAGCACGCCGTAATGAAATCCAGGCACTCTATATGGGATCAAAGGTGAGTAAAACTCCTGTGTTGTGGGATTAGGCTGTGAATGTTGTCTACCTAGACTTTAGTAAGGCCTTTGACACAGTCTCCCACAGCATCCTCCTAAATAAATTGGCTGCTTGTGCCTTAGATAGCTGGACTCTTCAATGGGTAAAAAACTGGCTGGATGGCTGGTCCCAGAGAGTTGTGGTCAATGGAGGTAAATCCAGTTGGTGGATGGTCACTAGCAGTGTTCCCCAGGGCTCTGTTTTAGGGCTGGTGCTGTTCAGCATCTTTTATAGATGATCTGGACATGGGGATTGAGGGGACCCTCAGTAAATTTGCAGATGACACCAAGTTAGGTGTGAGTGTCAATCTGCTGGAGGGTAGGAAGGCTCTGCAGAGAGACCTGGACAGGCTGTATAGATGGGCTGAGACCCACAACATGAGGTTCAACAAGGACAAGTGCCGGGTCCTACACTTCAGCCACAAAAACCGCATGCAGCGTTACTGGCTGGGGGAAGCGTGTTTTGAAAGTGGTCAGGCAGAAAAAGACCTGGGGGTGCTGGTTGACAGCTGGCTGAACATGAGCCAGCAGTGTGCCCAGGTGGCCAAGAAGGCCAATGGCATCCTGGCTTGTATCAGGAATAGTGTGGCCAGCAGGACTAGGGAAGTGGTTGTCCCTCTGTACTCAGTGCTGATGAGGCCACACGTTGAGTGCTGTGTCTAGTTCTGGGCCCTGCACTTCAAGAAAGA